ACAGAGATACTCGCAGGAACACCTCAGCAAGCAAGAGTCCAAAAGTGGCAGGCTAAAACCCAGCACCTCAATCAGTGTCTGAAACCAGATTAGAAACTCCCTCCTGGGCACACAGAAGAGTGGACGACCTGATCAGACTGTGCTCTGGCACCACAAGATGCAGAGATAATGGGGCTACAAAGTGGAGTTCATGACATGCAAATGTGGAGAAGAGCAAACCACAGACCACCTACCACATGCACAAGAGAGGACTTTCCCATAGCAAAACCAGAGGCACTCCAAGTGGCCAGCTTCAGGTCAAAGGACATTTAGCATAATGCCAAGTTTTTTTTAACTTATGTTGTTAAATGCAGTTTAACTGTACCCTCAACTGGCTTCTGACACGATAAATAAATACCAAGCTCTCAATTTTCCTGCAAGAAGCTACCTTGACCCCTCCCTCCCTCCCTCCTCGGGTGTTTTTAATCCCACTGCAAAGGACAAACCACTTTTCTGCGAATGCTCTGGAACAGGACACAACCTACTCTTCAGTCAACACTCACCCATAACCCAGATTCCCTTTCTGTGCAACAGGGCGACCGTCCCCCTGTGCCAAGCCGCCTCTACGTCAAAACTTCAAGCTCTCCCATTTCACAGTGTGGCAAAATCCTTCCAGTGACCCTTTCCTCTCTCTCCCTCTTGGCCACTCATCAAAATCTCCCAACCCTTCTTTGATGCAGTGTACATTCGGTCAACATCCACGACCTAGTCATTTCTCTTCTCTTTCCCAGAAGCCAAAAATCAATCTTGTTTCCCCTATATATGTTGATAACAATGCAAACTCTCCCCATGGGCCTACAATCCCTGATAGATGATATCCCCAATTGCTATGGACATGACGCCTCCCAAATAAGCCAGGCATCTCATCATCCCCAGATCTGCTGCAGACAGTGGGCCTTATGTCCATGCATCAATTTTGGATGGGATCAAAATGACATAATATAACCTAATCAAAATAACATAAAATCACAGGGGGCAGTTCCATCTTGTATCCTGCATATGTCATCAGCTGGGGACCCCTCCCCCCGGCACCCACTGCCACTCTGGGGCAGAATGAAGGGGGGGGGGGCAGGGGACGGTTCTACCTTGTCTCCTGTGCTATGTTAATAATATAACATAAAATCACAGGGGACAGTTCATTCTTCTCTCCTGCATATGTCATCAGTTGGGGAGCCCTCCCTCCAGCACCAACTGCCACTCTGGAGTGTAGAGAGGGTGGACCAGGGGACAGTTCCACCTTGTCTCCTGTGCAATGCTAATACTATAATATAATACAATACAATATAATATAATATAACATACTATATTGTATATACATATACTATTTATAATATTATAATGCAATGCAATATAATACTAATAATATGATATTGTAATTATATATTTACAATACAAGTAATATTACTAATAATATTACAATATAATGGTATAATACAATATAGTAATAGGTTTTTCGGGCTATATGGCCATGAAAATGAACAAAATCTGGCTACCAGTATTAAAAAAGCTCTAAAATTAAAAACAGCAAAACAGCAGAGGGAAAACAATCAAGGACATCTAATCACCTCTCAACAAAAGATTGCTCCAGGCACTGCCAGGCCATCAAATGCTAATCAAGGTGGTCAGTTGAAACATTCACACCTAGCTCCAGCAGACAAGAGTTCTTTGTCCCACCCTGGTCTTTCCACAGATATATAAACCCATTTACCTAGTTCCAACAGACCTCACTACCTCTGAGGACGCTTGCCACAGATGCAGGCAAAACATCAGGAGAGAATGCCTCTAGAACATGGCCATATAGCCCGAAAAACCTACAACAACCCAGTGATTCTGGCCATGAAAGCTTTCGACAAAACAATAGAGTAATAATTAATACTGATATTGTACTATGCTAATAATATAATATATATATTGTGTGTGTGTGTGTATATATATATATCATAAAATAAATAAATAAATAAAATAATCAAAATAACATAATATAACATAATCAAAATAACAAAATAACATAATTCGATTCCTTTATTAGAGTCCCCTTAGGCAGTGGAAGAAGAGGAAGAAATGCATTTATCTTGATCATATAACAGATCTGTTCATTGGGAGAGAAATCCTTCCCTCCCACCATACCTATCCTGCCCATTCCTTGCTTTCCACTCCTCCAGATCTCTTGACAGGTTGGCACATTGGCCCCATTAAAAACAGAAGATGACAGCTCCTCTTTGCCTTCCCCTTTCTGCCAAGCCGGTGGGGGGAGATCTGAAAGCAACCCATCCTTTTTGTCCCTTTTCTATTGCAAGGGGGCAGAGATGCCCTCCCCAAACCCACACAGCAAAAGGGTCGGGGGTCTGACCGCCTTCCTTGCGCCTACCTGTGCTGAGCTGCGGATCCTGCTCTGCTTGGGTCTCTCTCCCTTTTGCAATCCCTGCAGTAACGGCTGTTGTTGAGGCTGCAAACCGGAACCAGGAAGCAGCTGCGAAACTAAGCCGAGAGGAAAGGAAAAAAATAGAAAGAGAAAAGCCCGCTTGGGTCTCTCCCTCTCGCTGGTCTTCTGGAATTAATCCGATTTGCTTCTTCTCGGCGCTTGACTCGCCATTGCCACCCTGCCTCTTGGAGGACCGGCTCTTGGGTCCTCCCTGAGCATCCCCAGATGCCAGAAGTTGCCTTTGGAGACCTGCCCGAGGCACATCGCCTCCACTCGCCCTGGTATCTGTTTGCAACAGACTGCAAGGTGGTGCCTAGCCCCTGAAACCCGTGATCTCCTGCATGCTAACATGGGAGCCAGCCCCATTGTACTAAGTGGGGTCCCTTTGGAGAAAAATGTCTAGAGTTGCACGGTTAGCAATCAATGCTGTGAATCACAGGGTGCATCTGCACTATAGAATTAATCCAGTTTGACCCCATTTTCACTGCCATGGCTCAGAGCTCTAGAAGCCCCAGATCTGCTCCACCCGGAGTGTGTTGGAGGCTCCTTCTTTAGAAGCTTTTAAACAGAGGCTGGATGGCCATCTGTCAGGGGTGATTTGAATGCAATATTCCTGCTTCTTGGCAGGAGGTTGGACTGGATGGCCCATGAGGTCTCTTCCAACTCTTTGATTCTATGATTCTACTATTCTAAGCCTGGAATTTATAGTTTGTTGCTTTGTCAGAGGGCTAAAATCCTTGCAAGACTTCATAGAATCATAGAATCAAAGAGTTGGAAGAGACCTCATGGGCCATCCAGTCCAACCCCCTGCCAAGAAGCAGGAATATTGCATTCAAATCACCCCTGACAGATGGCCATCCAGCCTCTGTTTAAAAGCTTCCAAAGAGGAGCCTCCACCACACTCCGGGGCAGAGAGTTCCACTGCTGAACGGCTCTCACAGTCAGGAAGTTCTTCCTCATGTTCAGATGGAATCTCCTCTCTTGTAGTTTGAAGCCATTGTTCCGCGTCCTAGTCTCCGCGTCAGTAGTAAACAAGCTTGCTCCCTCCTCCCTGTGGCTTCCTCTCACATATTTATACATGGCTATCATATCTCCTCAGCCTTCTCTTCTTCAGGCTAAACATGCCCAGCTCCTTAAGCCGCTCCTCATAGGGCTTGTTCTCCAGACCCTTGATCATTTTAGTCGCCCTCCTCTGGACACATTCCAGCTTGTCAATATCTCTCTTGAATTGTGGTGCCCAGAATTGGACACAATATTCCAGATGTGGTGTAACCAAAGCAGAATAGAGGGGTAGCATTACTTCCTTAGATCTAGACACTATGCTCCTATTGATGCAGGCCAAAATCCCATTGGCTTTTTTTGCCGCCACATCACATTGTTGGCACATTGTTTGCAACAGACTGCAAGGTGATGCCTAGCCCCTGAAACTAGTGATCTCCTGCATGCCAACATGGGAGCCAGCCCCATTCTACTAAATGGGGTCCCTTTGGAGAAAAATGTCTAGGGTTGCAGGGTTAGCAACCAATGCTGTGAATCACAGGGTGCATCTGCACTGTAGAATTAATCCAGTTTGACCCCACTTTCACTGCCATGGCTCAGTGCTCTAGGAACCTGAGATTTGTACTTTGTTGGTTTGTCAGAGGTCTAAAATAATAATATTTATTTATTTATCGTGTCACGAGCGAACCAAAACAGTTGTATTGCATTAACCTGGATTTGGGACCAGGCCTTCAGGTAAGCTGGCAGATGGACAAAAGACAATGGCAACCAGAGTAGGAAAGGACAATGACAATGCTGGATGGATTATGGATTTATAAATCGGCGAACATTGACCACAAAATGATTTTATTGCTGTTATTGTATTGATTTGATTGTTTTAACTAGTAATAACTGTTGATGTTAAATTGTATATTGTATTTTGTGAATTGTTGGGCATCGAATTGTGCCTTTTGTAAGCCGCCCTGAGTCCCCCCTAGGGGGTTGAGAAGGGCGGGGTAAAAGCACTCAAATAAATAAATAAATAAATAATAAAAACAAACAAACAAACAAACAAAACACAATGTTTGCAGACTTGGTATTCTATTAAATGTCCTTTGACCAGTAGCTGGCCACTTGGAGTGCCTCTGATGTTGCTATAAGAAGGTCCTCCATTGTGCATGTAGCAGGGCTCAGGTTGCATTGTAGTAGGTGGTCTGTGGTTTGCTCTTCTCCACACTCACATGCTGTGGGTTCCACTTTGTAGCCCCATTTCTGAAGGTTGGCTCTGCATCTCGTGGTGCCAGAGCGCAGTCTGTTCAGTGCCTTCCAAGTCACCCAGTTTTTTGTGTGCTCAGGAGAGAGTCTCTCATTTGGTATCAGCCATTGATTGAGGTTCTGGGTTTGAACCTGCCACTTTTGGACTCTCGCTTGCTGAGGTGTTCCAGGACTTTGATTCCGGGGGGGGGGGGGGGGGCTGAGTCTGAGTGAAAGAGGGTCTACCCTAGCAAACCTTTTGTATCGTTACCCCAATACCCCCATGCATATGAGATATATTGAGCATGGTGATCAGATCATTATATGAATAAACATAATAGTTTAAATAATGTACCAGTAAGGCCTTTTCGCAGACCACCATGAGAATTTCGGCTACATGCCTGTTACTGCCCATCTTAGTTTCTAGAGTAGCAGTGGAACTCTTGCCTCAGAGTGTGGTGGAAGCTCCTTCCTTTGAGGCTTTTAAACAGAGGCTGGATGGCCATTTGTCAGAGGTACTTTGATTGTGTTTTTCCTGCATGGCAGGGGCTGCACTAGATGGCCCATGTGGTCTCTTCCAACTCTATAATTCTATGATTCTAACTTTTCTCCAAGCTCAGTAACATTTCTGGGAGGGGGGCGGTGTGTATATATGTGCCTTCAAGATGCCTGTCCTTAATCGCCTTCTCCCATATAACCTGCCCCTTATACTCAGGTCTTCTGCTTGACATCTATTACATTAATCCAAAACTAAGCTGATGACTATTGTGTGTGTGCCTTCAAGTCACATCTCAATTTATGGCGACCCCATGATTTTCAAAGGGTGTTCTTTGGAGGTCGTTTTGACAGTTCCATCTTCGAAAATATAGCCTTATAGCACCTTTTATTCCTTGGTGGTTTCCCATCCAAGTGCTAACCTGGGCTGACTTTGTTTAACTTTCAAGATCAGACAGGATCTGATAATTTTAGGATGGCAATAACTCCCAAATATTCTCTATCCAAATACAGCTGGTCATCTCTATACTCCCAGATTCCATACCCATGGATCCCACCATCCAGGTCTTTAACTGTCCCACCTCCCCCCCCAAAAAAAAAACACCAAAAAGAAACTTTGATTTATATTATATAAGGGATGCCATTATACTATGCCATTTGTCCATAATGGGACTTTAGCACTCACGGATATTGATATAGAGAAGACTCCTGGAACTAAAACCAGTGGAGTCTACAAAAAAAAAATTGCAGTATATATAGTCACCTTGTAACAGCATTTTTGTTCATGATGTCATATGACAAAACATATCTACCAACATTTACCTGATGGAAACTAGGATTTGTGTAGCCAAGTAAGATTAGAGTGTAGTGAATATTATACTATAAATGGATTTTTGTTTCTGGGTTAGAAATGTCATTTCCTAATTGGTTCTATCATAAAAACATGAAAAATATGTATTAAACTGCAAAACTTTGTTTTTGCAGAACATCCTGCAGCACATTTGCCCACAGTTTTTCAATGATTATCTTATAGAGTCTCAAACAATTCAACAGAGTTTCTGCCAGCTACAAAAATGAGTATATTTTCTGGAGTATAACAGCTACTTTCAATGAAGTATCTTTCAAAGTAAGAACAATGAAACAGGAAATAACACTTTCTAACCAGAAACATTTTTTTTCCAAATTTTGTTACATAGTGTTGTTAGTGTGGAAGGACACACAAGGTAGGAGAACTTGTAGCAGTTGACTTTTGCCCGAGTAGTATAATAGGAAGTGCAAGATTCCGCCTTCTCCTCTTCCTCTGCTCAGTCATTTAAACTGAAATTATTGCTGCATTTTGAACCTAGGCCCCTTCCACACAGCTGAAAAAAACCTATATTATCTGTTTTGAACTGGAATATATGGCAGTGTGAAGAACCCAGTTCAAAGCAGATATTGTGGTATTTTCTGCTTTGATATCCTGGGTTATATGCCTGTGTGGAAGGGCCCTCAGTTTGCAGCCAGAAGGGATGAAGAAAGTAAGAAGAGAAATTGGGATGTTTAAAAAACAGGTGAAAAGGTGGGGTGATAAAGAATGAATCAAAGCTCTGGGGTCTAGGGTCAAGCTTTTGGAGATTAATCTGTAGTGCTATAATAGTCTCAAAATATGTGCAACTGACCTTTGGAATGACCCTGGATTATAACTGAGGGTGGCATGATTTTAATAGTGAAGACAATGTTTTATATGTGTTAATGTGCATTTAATTTGAATTTTTAACTTAAGTATATTCTGTTTATTGTCCAAAGCCATTGAATAGTTGCCATATGTAAAGCCACTTTGAGTCCCTTTCGAGGTAGAGAAAGGCAGGATACAAATAGAGTAAATAAATAAGAAAGAGCTGCCCTAGTCAAATTGGAAGGCAAGCCAAAATACTTAACTCTGTCTGACCACTACTACATATCTTTTGAGATGAATCGTTCATAAACAGCAGTTGTAGGAAGGAGCACACAGTACTACTTCTAATCCACAGCTTCATAAACTATTGAATTATTTTTTTAAAAGTGCAATTACTAAGCAACTAACTTAACCTTCTTTGGTCCTCTTGCTAAAATGAAAGAGGGCCAAGAACATGAACTGTTTTATCTCTATGAGGGATGGGGAACATTTGGCACTCTAGATGTTTTTTGTTACAACTCTCATCAACTACATCCAGCATGGCTAATAATCAAGTATAATGGCATGCAACTTATATGGAAATACAGAGAGGACAAAGTGTATTTGGCTACAACCTGTTCTTAGAAGAGATGCCTTTTTACCTTACTTGCATGTGCTGTCTTTTTTGATCCATAGTCATAGTTGTTTTGATTAGTCTAAGAGTTTCTATCCCAGAAATAATCACATCCCCTGTCTCTATAGCATGTTTGTAGTGCTCTTCTATGTAGCAAAAACTTGTGCTGTTCTGAAATATGGGCACGAATGAGGGTATTTTTGCCTACCATATACGAAGTCCCTTTGTTTCTCCACTGAATAACTACAACCAGTTCAAATACATTTTAGATTACACAGTCAGTTCAGAGCATACTGTAATAAAATCTTGCTTTTCACTAAACTACACAAGACAGATTGTTAGAGAAAAATAAATATCTTGCTCTATGCACAACAAAACTACAGCTTTTGCTGTCATTCTTTGAATATGATTTTCCTGCTTCTTGGCAGTGGGGTTGGACTGGATGGCCCACAAGGTCTCTTCCAACTCTAGGATTCTATTAAATGACCAGTCAGGGGACTCCAAAAACAACTAGGGGTTGTTTTTGGGGTCATCAAAGTTCTCTAAAATTATTTTGTTCCAAAATGACCTCCAGAAGGTATGGAGAACATTTCTGCTACAAGCAGAGATCCAATGGCCCATTTAATCCCAGGAAAATGTAGTCCAAACAAATAATCTCACCAAATTTTGGCTGGCTCCACTTAATAATCACCACTTTTGAGTCTTTCTTCTATCAAGATGTAGCTCATGTTTCTGGATCTTTTAGTGTTAGAAATAGCAACCTTTTCAAGCCTAGCTATTTGTAATGTATATAATTGAGATTACTTACTGTATTGCATATGTGTATTGGTGTGCAGTTTTTCTTAACTCTTTTGTTAAGTTCTTTTGTTAGAACTGGGCTTGTTCAGGACTCAGACTCCATTTTTGAAACAGTTTGGCTTTAGACTTCAGTAGGAACTGTATACTTTTAAGACAGTAGGAGCAGATGTACGCTTTAGACTTCAATAGGAACTGTATGCTTAGAGACTTCAGTAGAAACAGTAGAGTTTAGAAGTCAATTGTACTTTCAGACTAGACAGAGACTCTATTAGACTCTCAGAACAGAATGATGCCCTATGTTACTTACACAGAGAAACTACTTCAAAGCTATTTGTAACTGGATTAATAAGCAAAGTACCTGTATGCTGAATATATGAAGTTTGTGAGTAAACTATGTTACTTTTAAATAAGTAATTTTGTCTCCTGAGAGCATGATTTAAAGGCAAATATATTTTAAAGGAGAGTAGATGTTTTTCGACAACTGGAAAAACACTTCTGAATCTCTGCTACATATGTGTTTTGTGCAATGGCATATCTTTGTCCCTTACAGTTCAGGGACATACCTTGGTACATCAGTTTAACAGCTGAGAAACCAAATTGCCTTGAATGAATGTCATTTTCCCAAAAGGTTTTGGCATCATTTTTCAAAAGGTTATGACTTCTAACAATGCCTTTCCAAAGATCATAAAATCTCCAAAAGGTTATGGAGATTTCAATTTTTCAAAATTTTAACAGTGTCTCTTCCTGGACCTGAGAAGAGGTTTGCATATGCAGAATTAGGTTGCAGAATTATTTGGTTTAGGCACTCACCTTATTCCCAGAATCGCAGTACTCCAGCACGAAAATATACACAACAGGCTCATAAAAAATATTTAATATTACAGCTTCAGGCATATGGCATAATTCTTTTATGTCCTGAAGTTCAGAAGGATTTAGCATAAAAAGATTATGTCAGGTTTAACATTGTATTTCTCTGCTCACCATTGCGAGTCTACTGTGATTTGAAATATACTTCAAATTGGTTACACAATTTGCTGGCTTGTTTCCATGCTTTCTGGCTTGACATATAAAACAGTGTAGATGTGTGTCTTGTGTTGCTATAATATTCAGTCAAGAATCTATACTCCAGTACCCCTCATTCATTTTCTGTTGCTCATTCTCTCAATCCAAGCGATGCCAAATACAGTCAGTCCTACCAACTGCCATCTCAAACATGCAATACACAGGTTCAAAGTGAATAGTGTTCATCAAAGAGTTTCCGACTTGTTAGGAGTCCCCATTTCCTTTGATGTATCTGTCTCAGCGCTCTGCTGTTTAACATATTGGTCCAACAAAGATGCCAAGTGAGCTGGGCCACGCTGCAAAATCGTGCTGGTTTGGGATGTCAGGAGAGAGAGAGCGCCCACCACTTCTCCTTGGGCCATCACCATGGAAGGCAGCTTGGCATAGTTGAGGAAACCTTGTTGGCTTAGGATTGCATTGTCAACATAAACTCCTGGAAGGGTCAGGCAAAAAGATGCATGGGTAACATTCACAGTTTTTTAAAATAACACACAAGAGCATTGCTGATACTGAACTAGCCAGTTTTAGATTAAAAAAAAAACACACACAAACGTCGACATTTTAAAATGAATATTTAAATGCCTGTAATTCTATAGAGCAGCAGGGAAGAAATCCACACCCTTCTCTCTATGGGCCCTTCCACACAGCCATATAACGCAGTATATCAAAGCAGAAAATCCTACAATATTTGCTTTGAACTGGGTTATCTGAGTCCACACTGCCATATATTTCCATTCAAAGTAGATGTGGGATTTTATTCAGCTGTGTGGAAGGGGGCTTTGACAACTTTTTAGGTATTTAGAAAATACAATCATTTCATATCTTAGTATTCTTTCCACTAGGCTGAATGTGCCCAGCTCACTCAACCTCTCTTCCTGTTTTGTTCTTCATATCTCTAATTAACTGAGCAGCCCTTCTCTTAACCTGCTCCTGCTTATCTATATCCCTCCTAAAACAAGATGTCCAGAACTGAATGCAATACTCCAAATGAGGTCTAACTAATGCAGAATACAGTGGGACTATTACTTCTTCCCCTGACTTGGAAACTATGGTTTTATTATAGCAGGCTCAAATTATCTTTTCAGGGCATTCTCCCATATTTCACACTCAAACACCCTCTAATAATAATAATAATAATAATAATAATACTTTATTTATGTACCGCTTCATCTCCCTGAGGGGACTCAGACCGGTTCCCAAGTAATATCACAAAACATACAGAGTAAAAACAACATAATCAGAAGATTAACAAACAAAATATAAACATAAAAATTGTTGCCATAACACACATATATTAAAAGTAATCCTGCCTGTTCAAGGCAATTAAAAATTTAAAAGGCCGGGCCAAAATTTGTGCAAGCCCAAAACTTCTAGGGGTCCTGGGAATTAAGTGCAATGCTATGGCAGGCAACAATAATATTCGGTACGGGTCTGTGGCTGTTCATTCTGGGGCCAATTAGAGGAAAGATAACTTGATAACTCTTCTCAGTTATCAAGGTGATGATTTCTCTCAATGCCATCTAAACCAGTGGTTCTCAACCTGTGCGTCCCCAGGTGTTTTGGCCTACAACTCCCAGAAATCCCAAGCAGTTCACCAGCTGTTAGGATTTCTGGAAGTTGAAGGCCAAAACATCTGGGGACCCACAGGTTGAAAACCACTGATCTAAACTATTCATTGTAAATCTGGGTTTTGTTGGGGTTTTTTTTTTTTGCCAATTCCTAATTTAAAAACTCAAAGATTTCTTTAAGCAATCCAGATATAAATTGTATCACATTTGTAAGTCCAGTGCCAGTGGTCTCAACACTTACCTAGAAGGTTAATTGGTGGCATTCTCTTCAAGATTCTCAACATTTCTTGTGCCCTTATTTCCGGGCTCACCATTAGAAGATTGCGGTCAACAAAGAGAGGCAGGAGGTTCTTGAACTTGGAATCCAAAAGAAAAGGTCTCACAATCTGGAAAAGTGGCAATAAAACACCAGTTAAACCATCAAATGGTGCCCCTTCAAGGACAGAAGGCTCTTTAATCCAGCAGAGACTGCCCTGAGCATAATAGGGAAAGAGGAAATGCCTTCAATCCCATCATACCTCGTGAAGAGCCTCTAATGATGTCCCAAAGGTTCTGTCAATTGTGTAAAGCCAAGTAGAGAAAGCAGAGGGGGGGGGGGGGACGGGGGGGACGAGAATTAACAAAATTTACTTCCCATCCTCCAAAATACAACCCTGAGAATATACACGCAAAGATGAATTCTAGTTTTGATCCAAAAGGTTGTACCAAAAGGTTTAAAGGACTGCACAGGGTCTTTCAGTTGAAATATAAGGATTCCCATTATAAAGAGTCTTCAGTTACAGGAAAAAATCAATCTAAGTAAAACAAAAACAAAAACAGAGATCTGAACAGCAGCTAGCAAGGGTCAGAAGAAATTACTTCCCCTGGTATGTTCTATAACTTGAATTATTATTTGATATCTGACTACATATTGCCTAAAGAAGAACAGAAACTATCCAGGGAAAACTCACTTTTATCAGAATCTTTTTTCCTAGAAATTCCTAGGTTTTTTTCTGAGTGAACAGACCAGAAAAAACTAGGAATAGTTTGGAACTTTCCTTTTCAGAAGTAATTGGCTTCAAATTAGTATTCATTATAGTGTCTTGAAAAAGACAACAAATTCCAAAACACACAATACAGGGATACCTTTATTAGACCAACCAAAAGGAGCAAAATACATTGTGATAGCTTTTAAAGCACTCCTGCATCAGACAAATATGTTAAAAATCACATAGCGGGAGAAAGTGAGAGCATTAGAGTCTTGGGCGCTTTATCTTTTTTGATATGTAATAATAATAAATAATATACCTTATTTATATTCCACTATCTCCCCGAGGGGATACAATGTTTGCTTATGAGAGGTGGATTAAGGTGAACATCAGCTTGAAATACCATCTTAACACTATCTTAACCTAACATCTCAAACAAGATCCAGACTTCAGATTCTGATACTGCAAAAGTAATCAGAAAATGTTACTCGTGGCAAGGAAAACATCCCATTACTCAGATGTGTCATTTTGACATTACTTTGATGTTCCCGCTAGAAAAAAAAAAGGGGGGGGGGCTGCATTAGTTGTAACTCATTGATACAAAGTTCTACATTTAACCTACAGTAAAATTTAATGGTTACAGGACCCTTTCTAAGAGAATGCTACAGCAACATCAGATCGTGCTCTTCTGCCTCTGAAATACATATCTGAAGACAGCACTGAAAGTGTGACTGATAGTTTTTCTTATATTATCTTCTGCATATAGATTTCCCCACTCCAAAGAATGCAGACACCTGTACATTGCACTGCAGAAAAACTATTGATATAAAAACTATACCTCATTGGGGAAGAATTTAACATGGATGTTGTACTTCCGTAGTTGATGCCTCATGAGTACCATGTCATTTCCATGGATGTAGTTGTACTGGCAAACAGCAATCATTTTATTCTCACGGAATGTTTCCTCCACTTGTCGACGCAACAGCCTTGTGTAGCCATTTTCCTAGGAAACAAAAGAATTTCTGTTTGTAGCTATTAAGTCTGAAACGAATCCAAACAAGCTCCAGGTGGATTTTGCAGTGTAAGAGGCATGTGTAATATACAAACAGATATGTAAGATTATATTCCTAGGTAAAGTAGAGTTGCAACTTGATATATTTTAATCATTGCAACAAAAAGTCTACATATTTACTTGGGAAACTAGAAAATCAGAAAGTCTGACTCATTGTTGTCCTGATTATGTAAAACAGGGATTCTCAAACTTTTTAAACAGAGGGCCAGATTACAGTCCCTCAAACTGTTGGAGGGCCAGATAATAATTTGAGAAAAATACAAATGAATTCCTATGCACACTGCACATATCTCATTAGTAATTCAATGGGAAGTGTGGGGCTGATTTGGCTGATGAGATAGGATTATTGTTGTTGTTGTTGTTGTTGTTGTGTGTTTTCAAGTCGTTTCAGACTTAGGTTGACCCTGAGCGAGGGCCGGGTAAATGACCTTGGAGGGCCGTATCCGGCCTCCGGGCCTTAGTTTGAGGTCCCCTGATGTAAAACAATTATTTAAATCATCAAGGGAACGAATCATTGCTACAGATCCAGAGAAAGATTAAAACTAAATCTATGTTTTTCTGGAAAATGTTCTTGTAAACTGAACAGGCAATTTCTGAGAAAACTGATAAAAGGGTTATCACATTATAAAGGAAGGGATTTGATTTTTTCTTCATGGCTCGAATCATTTTACTAGAATATGGAAGGACATTTGGTCAAAATTCCGGATCTTACCAAGAGCAAAGATTATACTTCTGTTTGGACGGAGATATGGCAGATCAGAATATTTATTCAAACCAAGAATATAAGGAGTATTGGCTGCACATAGTTGTAATTTTTTTTTGCCAGTCATAAGAGCTACAAAAACTTTTAAAACTTCTGACTCTTGGGTTGTATCTGCTGCAAGAGGTGTTTATCTTACTTTGCTTAATATTATTTTTGTTATTTTTAACAGTATAATTCAAAACCAAAAGGAAGTAATTAAATCATAAGATAAAAGGAGGAAGGAGATATACATATGTAGAATATATACAAGAATATACAACTAAATGAAATCTAAACTAAACTACAGCTAAAACAAAGCTACCAAATCCCTGACTGAAAACACCAAAGAATGACTAACTACACTAACACAATGATAAACTAAGGAACTATGATTACCATAATCCCATAACAATAAAAAGGTAATATTCAAAATAAGGTAATATTCAAAATAAAGTACATTACTCTATCATTACAGAGCTAACTAAAATTTAATTAGCCAATAACCATAGCCATGAATTATTACATTATTAGATTTCTTATTGCTCAAAAGTCTATAAATTAATTCCAACTATTCAAAAATTAGTTACTAGATTTATCCTTTAAAATCCAAATTAATTTGAATGTTTAGACTAACTCAGCATTCTTAACAAATCAATTCTTTCCTCAATGTTGGACCATTTTCAGGTACTGCCATATATTAAAATACTCCATATTTGCTATCCAGTTTTTTGTCCAGAGTACCCAAAAGCTGATTTCTGATACCACTGCAAGATCTATCTTTAATTTTATTTGAATTAGCATATGAGTCTTAGACCAATAGCTTTTCATTTTCCTACATGTCTCCCACATATGAAAAAGAAGCCCAACTTTTTCCAGGCAGCCCCAACATTGATATAAAACATTTAAAGACATTTTGGACAACTTATTTGGCATTAGATACCACCTTAATATAGTAGTATAGACAATTTTGAAAGATAATATACAAAGTAAATTTTATATCTGTCTCTCATTCCGCCCAATGCTCGGGCCAGCCCCAAGAACAAAACCAAAGACACTGCTCCTGCAATAACTCCTTTGAAGCTTTATAGATAAAGAAAACTAGCACAGCACCCAAAACATCAAACTTTAGTATCAAGATAAAGTCTTAAATAACACAGAAATCACATGAAATACACTGTAGTTGATAATAGTAAAGGTAAAGGTTTTCCCCTGACATTAAGTCCAGTCGTGTCCGACTCTGGGGGTTGGTGCTCATCTCCATTTCTAAGCCGAACAGCCAGCGTTGTCCATAGAGACCTCCAAGGTCATGTGGCCAGCATGACTGCATGGAGCACCGTTACCTTCACGCCAAAGTGGTACCTATTGATCTACTCACATCTGTATGTTTTCCAACTGCTAGGTTGGCAGAAGCTGGGGCTAACAGCGAGAACTCACGCCGCTCCCCAGATTAAAACCTGTGACCTAATTGATAATGCCAGCTAAGAAACTGTGAGAGTATGACAAAGGGGCTGCCTAAATCCATCTTCATCTTGGAAGTAAAACAGACAGGTCTAGTTACTGCTCGTAAAAAGAAATAACCAAATGCTGTAGGCTATATTTTAGAGGAGGGCATCAGCAAGCCACTTCTGATTACCCTATGTAACATGATTTTTGTTCCTGGGTTATTAATGTCATCTCCTGATTGGTTCTATCATAAAAACATGGAAAAAGTTTATTACATTACAAAAACTTAGTTTTTGCAGGACATCCTACAGAACATTTTGCTATAGTTGTTCAATGAATATTTCATAGAGTTTCAATTAATTCAACATAGTTTGTGGCAGCCACAAAAATGAAGTTTCTGGAGGATAATAATCACTTTCATAGTAATTACTGCACAATGAAACAGGAAAGAACACTTTCAAACCAGAAACAGATTTTTTTTCTGAAATTCTCTTGCCTAAGAAAACTCTAGGCATTTAATGAGGTTGCCAACAGATGACTTGAAGGCGCGCACACACACATAAACAATTACGGGTAATTTCTGATTGACAAATTCGCTGCAGCAGGCCTACACATAACCACAACCCACCCAGCAGTGAAGGAGAGTGGGTGGACATTAATATTACCTCCTCCATAAATCTGGTACGGGGTTTGCATTCTTCAGGGATTGCAGGTTTTGGAGGTATGTATTCTGTCACAGCCATTAGTTTCTGCCGCATAAAGTTCATATCCCTCCAATGTCGGGTGACCGCTTTGGAGCCATGGCGGATATGCTGAAGAGTAGGCAGACAACCTGGAGCAATAAAAACAACAACAATCTGAGCATACACAGCAAAGATAAGCTATTTTGGGAATCGTTTATGACAAGAATGTCATAACCAGGGGAATTTCCATTAGTTCTTCTCAGCCTGACACACTTCATGCTAGAGAGGACAAAAGCAGACCCATACATATAGAATATATGTAAATAATAGGGATATAAATGCCATTCATATAATCGCAAGCATCATAATCCCATCAGAAATCCATAGGAAGTCCATGTTTCATATACAATATACATATCTGGGGGGAAAAATATACTACCCATCATAAGGATAAGCAAAGGGCATCTAAAATAATTAAGAAGAAATTGAGTTAGAACAGCGTTTCTCAACCTGGAGGTCGGGACCCCTGAAGGGGTCACAAGGGAGTGTCAGAGGGGTCACCAAAGGCAATCAGAAAACACAGTAATTTCTGTTGGTCATAGGGGTTCTCTGAGGGAAGTTTGGCCCAATTCTGTCATTAGTGGGGTTCAGAATGCTCTTTGGTTTGAGGTGAACTATAAATCCCAGCAACTACAACTCCAAAATGTTAAGGTCTATTTTCCCCAAACTCCATCAAGGTTTCACATTTGGGCATATTGAGTATTCGTGCCAAGTTTGATCCAGATCCATCATTGTTTGAGTCCACAGTGCTCTGTGGATGTAGGTGAACTACAATTCCAAAATTCAAGATCATTGCCTGCTAAACCCTTGTAGTATTTTCTGTTGGTCATGGGAGTTCTGTGTGCCAAGATCGGTTCAATTCCATTGTTGGTGGAGTTCAGAATGCTCTTTGATTGTAGGTGAACTATAAATCCCAGCAACTACAACTCCCAAATGACAAATTCTTTCCCTCTTTCTCTCCTTCCTTCCCTTTTTTTCTTTTCTTCTCTCCTTCCTTCCTTCTCTTCCTCTTCCCTTCCTTCCCCCCTTTTCTTTCCCTTCCTCTTTCTCCCTGTTTTTCCTTCTCTACCTATTCCTGGACTGCAACTCCCAGCAGCCCTCTTGATCAATCAATCTATTTCTAATCTATCTGGAGGATTGCTGAGAGTTGCAGTCCAGGAATAGGAAATTGGAAATATGCAGGGATTGGGATGCTTGCAAATAAGTCCAAGGAGAAGAAACCTTGCATCTTGGAAGCAGTGCATTTGGATCATCCTCCTCTCCTAAAGGGCTGGTCTAGGGGATGCTGGGAGCTGTAGTCCAGAAGAGAGTGTGGATATGCTATTGTGTGTTTTGTTTGCCAGGGGAGTCATTTTTGCGCATGTGCTGTAACATCTTTTTGCTTTTTTGCTTCTGCTGTGTTTTTCAGTGTTTTTATGAGTGATGGTCACTCGTTGGCCTGATACATGTATTGTGTCCAAATTTGGTGTCAATTCGTCCAGTGGTTTTTGAGTTATGTTAATTCCACAAATGAACATTATATTTTTATTTATACAGAAGGTTAGCATAGTACTAATGCCGCGACCCCTTAATACAGTTCCTCATGTTGTGGTGACCCCCAACCATAACCGTAACATTATGAATCGCCATGTAAATAATTATCTGCAGGATGTATTTTCATTCACTGGTGCAAATTTGGCACAAATACCCGGTATGCCCAAATTTGAATACTGGTGGGGTTGGCACTGGGATTGATTTTGTCATTTGGGAGTTGTAGTTGCTGGGATTTATAGTTAACATGTAAACAAAGAGCATTCTGAACCCCACCAACAATGGAATTGAACCAAATTTGGCACAGAGAACTCCCATGATCAACAGAAAATACTGGAAGGGTTTGGTGGGCATTGACCTTGAGTTTGGGAGTTGTAGTTCGCCTACATCCAGAGAGCACTGTGGGCTCAAACAATGATGGATCTGGACCAAACTTGGCACGGATACTCAATATGCTCAAATGTGAACACTGATGGGGTTTGGGGAGTTGTAGATACTGGGATTTATAGTTCACCTACAATCAAGGAGCGTTCTGAACTCCACCAATGATAGAATTGGGCCAAACCTCTCACACAGAACCCCCATGACCAACAGAAAATACTATGTTTTCTGATGGTCTTTGGCAACCCCTATGACACCGCGACCCCCCTCAGGGGTCCCAACCCCCCGGTTGAGAAACACTGATATAGATAGCAATCCCAGGAATTCCATAAGGTTGTCCTAGAAAAGAAATACTCAGAGGCGGTTTTGCCAGCTCCTTCCTCTGAAATATAACCACCTAGCACCTGGTATTCATTGGTGGTCTCCCATCCAGGTACTAACCCGGGCTACCTATGCTTAGTGTCCAAAATCAGACAGGATCTGGTGCCTTTAAGGCATTTAGACCTTAAAAGGACAATGTCTTTCAATTCAAGAAGCAGATACTGGTTCCTTAAGCCATTCGGTTCCAAACAAAACATAAACAGAGTGCAATTGTTGCTGAACAAGAGCCTGGGAAAAAAAACAAAACATATACAGAGTGCAACTATTGATGCACATTAAGAGAGAAAGGAAAAAGTAAACCTAATATTAATCAATTCTTACCAAGTTTGCAAACGCCTTTCCAAGAGTTACTGAAAGCCGCCATCTTCAATGGGGAGGAGCGCTGGAAGAGGAGTATTATGGGATAGTGGGGAGGGGGGGAGAGCCCGCCTCTATTTTAGTGGGGGAGATTTAAAGGGGCAGTGACCATATTTTCTAAAGGTGCATCCACACGGTAGAAAGGATGCAGTTTGGCATCGCTTCAACGAAATCCTAGAAGTTCTAATTTGATGAGTCACCAGGTGCCAGACAAGGCCGGAGATTTTGTAAAACTACAACACCCAGGGTTTCATAGCCCTGAGCTATGAATATTGGTGTCAAACTGCATTTATTCTACAATGTAGATGCACCCTTCCAATATTTTTGAGCCTTTCCCCCAGATATTTTTATTTCTTATAGCCTTTAAAAAAAGGCACAGGCAAACTTGGGCCCTCCAGGTGTTTTGGACTTCAACTCCCACAATTCCTAACAGCCGGTAGGCTGTTAGGAATTGTGGGAGTTGAAGTCCAAAACACCTGGAGGGCCCAAGTTTGCCCATGCCTGCATCAGATGCTTAGAATCCAAGCTGTTGCTAGGCAACCAAGCTCTTCTCAAGCTGTTGCTAGGCAACACAACACAGACCAAGCTTTGAAAGGGACCAAACACAGGCCTCTGGCAAAACCCTGCAAAAAACCCTCCCATTTGTTTCAACCAGCAGCCCATATTTGCTAGTTAAGTTATCTTTTAAAAACCAGACAGATCTAGTTTAGGGTTTGAAACCGTTGCTGCAGCAATTCTAGAACCATAGTTAGGACAAAAAGTCCAACAACCCCAGTTTCAATCTTTCTGTCTCTCTCTCTGAGGTTTGCTTTGTTGTTTCTGTGAGCTGCCTCCATCCTGGTGACCTTTCCAACAGTCATGCTAAGAGGTGAGTAGTATTATCTGAAGGGGCCTTCAATGGGAATGTTTGTGTATAGCATTTAAAACTGCGTAGGTAAAGGTAAAGATTTCCCCTTGACATTAAGTCTAGTTGTGTCTGACTCTGGGGGTTGGTGCTCATCTCCATTTTTAAGCCAAAGAGCCGGTGTTGTTCATAGACACCTCCAAGGTCATGTGGCCTCAGCAAGCGAGAGTCCAAAAGTGGCAGGCTCAAACCCAGAACCTCAACCAATGGCTGATACCAAAGGAGAGACTCCCCGCAGGGCACACAGAAAACTGGGCGACTTGGAAGGTGCTGAACAGACTGCGCTCTGGCACCACAAGATGCAGAGCCAACCTCAAGAAATGGGGCTACAAAGTGGAGTCCACAACATGCGAGTGTGGAGAGGAGCAAACCACTGACCACCTGCTGCAATGCAACCTGAGCCCAGCCACATGCACAATGGAGGACCTTCTTGCAGCAACACCAGAAGCACTCCAAGTGGCCAGATACTGGTCAAAGGACATTTAATCAACTACCAAACTCACACATTTTGTATTTTGTCTGTTTGTTTGCTTTGTTCTGTTAGAAATGTAATATAATTGACTGGTTGCCCTGACACGACAAATAAATAAAATGTGGCCAGCATGACTGCATGGAGCGCCGTTACCTTCCCGCTGAAGCAGTATTTATTGATCTACTCACATTTGCATGTTGTAGAACTGCTAGGTTGGCAGAAGCTGGGACTAACAGCGGGAGCTCACCCCGCTCGCCTGATTCGAACTGCTGACCTTTTGGTCAGCAACTTCAGCAGCTCAGCAGTTTAACAGAGGAACCAAAGGGAACTTTTGCACTTTTAAGAGTTGAAAGGGGCCTCTTTCCATTATTGGACTTCAGTTCCCAGAAGCCTCCACTGCTTTGGCCAATGATTGGGGATTCTGGGAGATAAAGTCCAAAACACCTGGAAGAACCCAAGTTTGGATTTGAACAAGAGGACATAGTTTTTAAATTTGAATTATTTATTGTTTTATGCTTTTCAAGGTATTGGAATGTTTCTTTTTTGCTTTTTATCAATGTATGTATAAGGCAGGGGTCCTCAAACTAAGGCCCAGGGGCCGGATACAGCCCTTCAAGGTCATTTACCCAGCCCTCGCTCAGGGTCAACCTAAGTCTGAAATGACATGAAAGCACATAACAACAACAACAACAACAACAACAACAACAATCCTATCTCAGCCAAAAGCAGGTCCACACTTCCCATTGAAATACTAACAAGTTTATAATTGTTAAAATTGTTCTTCATTTTAATTATTGGATTGTTTTGAAGTGTTTTTTGCACTACAAATAAGATGTGTGCAGTTTGCACAGGAATTCATTCATGTTTTTTTTTCAAATTATAATCTGGCCCTCCAACAGATTGAGGGACTGTGACCTGGCCCTCTGTTTAAAAAGTTTGAGGACCCCTGATATAAGGCATTGAATTGTGCCGACTTTGTATGCTGCCCTGAGTCGCCTTCGGGCTGATATGGGTGGGATAGAAATAATGTAAATAAATAAATAAATAAGTTTGGGGAATGACTTTGACATCACTTTGACTCGTATGGCTCAATGTAAGTAAGTCAGGGCCCTTCCACACAGCCATATAACCCAGAATGTCAAAGCAGAAAATCCCACAATTTCTGCTTTGAACTGGGTTATCGGAGTCCGCACTGCCATATATTCCAGTTCAAGGCACATAATGAGGGATTTTATTTAGCTGTGAAATCCCACATTATCTGAGTGTGGACTCAGATAACCCAGTTTAAAGCAGGGGTTTTCTGCTTTGATATTCTGTGATATAGGGCTGTGTGGAAGGGCCCTAAGTCGGAACAGGCACAAATGTACCTATTCCGACTTACAAATTCAATAAGAACAAACCTACAGAATTTATCTTGTTTGTAACTTGGGGACTGTCTGTATTTGTTTGCAGAGAACTCACAGAAATGCCCCATGGAAGGAGTGAAGCTGACAAAATCCCTCATTGCCCGGCGGAATCTGGCTGTGCCAATGGACAAAGAGACACTGGAGAATATGTGAGTATCCTGTCAGGGTTTGAATTGAGGTTAGGCTTTTGTTAAGGGTACTGATAGCTGTAAAATGTGTCTCCTGTTCCAGATCGCAAGCCTTGAGTTCTCTTGAGATCCTCCGACTTGACAGGGAGAGAATTAGCCATATCACAGATTTGGAAGGTTTAGAACAGATCCACAGCATTTATTTGCAACAGGTAATATGTTCCATTTTGTTCTTCAGTGTTATGTTTCTAAATTTCTGACATCAGAGGTCTAATCCGCTTGCTAGAAATGAAAATGCACAGTATTTATTTGTCGTGTCAAGGCAACCAGTCAATTGTATTACATTTCTAACAGAACAAAACATACAAAATTTGCGAGTTTGGTAGTTGATTAAATGTCCTTTGACCAGTAGCTGGCCACTTGGAGTGCTTCTGGTGTTGCTGTAAGGAGGTCCTCCATGGTGCATGTGGCAGGGCTCAGGGTGCATTGCAGCAGGTGGTCAGTGGTTTGCTCTTCTGCACACTCGCATGTTGTGGATTCCACTTTGTGGCCCCATTTCTTGAGGTTGGCTCTGCATCTAGTGGTGCCAGAGTCTGTTCAGCGCCTTCCAAGTTGCCCAGTCTTCTGTGTGCCCAGGGGGGAGTCCCTCATTTGGCATCAGCCATTGATTGAGGTTCTGGGTTTGAGCCTGCTACTTTTGGACTCTCGCTTGCTGAGGTGTTCCAGCGAGTGTCTCTGTAGATCTTAGAAAACTAATTCTTGATTTAAGTCGTTGACATGCTGGCTGATACCCAAACAGGGGATGAGCTGGAGATGTCTCTGCCTTGGTCCTTTCACTATTGGTTGCTACTTCCCGGCAGATGTCAGGTGGTGCAATACCGGCTAAGCAGTGGAATTTCTCCAGTGGTGTAGGGTGCAGACACTGCGTGATAATGCGGCATGTCTCATTAAGAGCCACATCTACTGTTTTAGTGTGGTGAGATGTGTTCCACACTGGGCATGCATACTCAGCAGCAGAGTAGCATAGTGCAAGGGCAGCTGTCTTCACTGCACAGTAGGATAATAGGTTAATTAGGACACACCAGTCAGTAAGCCTTAAGTTTTTCAGACTTCTGCATGAGGCTGGATAGGAAGCGAGGATGAGGAGGAGAATTAAGCAGGTGGTGCTAAAACTGTAAATTTTTCATTCAAGATGGAATGTGTAATCAACTATCGCCTCTCTGTCCCAGAATCATAAACCTAAATTGATAGCTGCAGCATCTAGCAGTAACTATAGGCTAAATTACATACTGTATTAAATATGTAGCATGTTACCTGAGCCTCAATGCCTTCTCACCCTGAGGGTGGTTTGAGTGTTGGACTCTAGAGACCAGAATTCGACCATTAAACCCACTGAATGATCTTGGGTAAGTCAAAATCTCTTAGCCTCAGAGAAAGGCAATGATAAATCACTTCTTAGCAAATTTTGCAAAGAAAGCCCTTTGAGATCCATAAAACCCAAAGCTGACTCACTTAAATTTCATTTTTAGAACCAAATACAGAAAATTGAAAACCTCAGCTGTTTTCCTAACTTGAAGTAAGTGATATTTATTGTTTTTACAACATGAATCAAATGTTTTCTTTTTTAAAAACTGCTTGCAAGAAGTCATTCAAATGTATATGGGAAAAATTCTGTCTCCAAATTACTGAGAATTTAGCATAGTATGGACAAATGAATGTAAAGCACTGTGTATGGAATACAGAAATGAAGTGTCTTGATCTCAGATTATAAAACTATGAATATTACATTAAGTGAACAAAAGATCCAGTTACAAGCTTTAGAAGCACTGGATTAGCTTTGTTGGAAAATAAAAGATTGGGAAACATGTGGCTGTATAAATGTTATTGGAGTATTCCTTATCCATAGTTATGCAGGTTGAAGTTGATGGAATTTGCAGTCCAACATCTGGTTTGTCATAAATTAATTGCGCCTGGGTTAGATGGACTTTGGTCTGATCCAATAGGGTGGAAGAGTGTAATAGCCTGAGTAGTAAAGGAAGGGTAAGGATACTAAAGAGGGGATGGTAAGGACTTCATAAAGCTTCCGCTGAAGTGAACCTTGACTGAAAGATAAAAAAATGCTTTGATTAACAGAACAGGGAAATCCCTTTAAAACACAGGAAGCAGCATGGCTGAAGACTTTGGCTCCTTCTATACTGCCATATAAAATCCAGATTATCTGCTTTGAACTGGATTATATGGCAGTGTAAACTCATATAATTCAATTCAAACCAGATAATGTGGACTATCTGATTTGATAATCTGGATTATATGACAGTGTAGAAGGGACCAAAGACATCAGAATGGGAGATAATGAAAGAGGTCAGCTAAAGCTGAGCATTTGAAGAACACAAAAAGAAAAAAATGTGGGGAAAAAGAAGCAATGTACTACAAGGATGGGAACCTTTTAGCCCTACAAGATAACTCCCAGAACCCTCAATCAGAGTAGTGAAAAGATGATGAGGTTTGTAGTCCCAAAAATCTAGAGGGCCAAAGGATCCTCAACCTGCAGGCAGCCTCCTCTCCAAAATAGTAAACCTGCCACTGTTTTTAACCTCTCCACTTGTAGATAGAGGCTCATATTATTGAATGCTCCTCTAAACAAATGGAAAATGAGCTCGGATTAGCTAGACGATGTTACTGGCAATCTATTTTAACAGGATGACACCAGAGATTACGTGTTTTATTGGCTTTTATATATGTTTTTATATTGTTATGTTGATTGTTTTTAATTGTATTTTCGAAGGCTTTCATGGCTGGAATCACTGGGTTGTTGTAGGTTTTTCGAACTATATGGCCATGTTCTAGAAGCATTCACTCCTGACATTTCACCTGCATCTATGGCAGGGGTCCTCAAACTTTTTAAAGAGGGGGCCAGGTCACAGTCCCTCAAACTGTTGGAGGGTCGGATTATAATTTGAAAAAAACATGAATGAATTCCTATGCACACTGCACATATCTTATTTGTTGTGCAAAAAACACTTAAAAACAATACAATAATTAAAATGAAGAACAATTTTAACAAATATAAACTTATTAGTATTTCAATGGGAAGTGTGGGCCTGCTTTTGGCTGATGAGATAGGATTGTTGTTGTGTGCTTTCAAGTCATTTCAGACTTAGGTTGACCCTGAGCGAGGGCCCGGTAAATGACCTTGGAGGGCCGCATCCAGGCCCTGGGCCTTAGCTTGAGGGCCCCTGATTGATGGCAAGCATCCTCAGAGGTTGTGAGAATGCTTGCCATAGATGCAGGCAAAACGTCAGGAGAGAATGCTTCTAGAACATGGCCATATAGCCCGAAAAACCTACAACAACCCTGTTTTTAATTGCTCTAATTGCTCTTTTGTGAATATATGGCACTGAATTGTGCCAGCCTGTAACCCGCCTTGAGTCGCCGTATGGCTGAGAAAGCCGGGCTATAAATATCGTAAATAAATAATAAATTATTTCAGGAAAAAAATTGGCGTGCTACAGAAAACACTAGGTTAGAATCCTTTGCTTTAACCTGCAAAGTCTTCTACTGGGAGGAAACTTTTTTACCAGTAAGAACTAGCTATTCTCAGGGACAGAAAAAGTTGAATAGTGAGAAGTGGAAAATCACAGTTGCTTGACATACATGAAAGAGGCAATGACAACATTTGGCTTTTCAAAATTGGATCATACCTTTCTCACAATATGTTGAGAAATAGATCAAACACTTTTCAAGGACATCCATCAAATTCTCTTCTAACTTAACCGTAGCACTTCATTATTTCTGGAGTTTTTTGGAAGGCAAGAGCTTCCTTAGGGACCTTATATAACCCAGAATATCAAGGCAGATAATCCACAATATCTGCTTTGAACTGGGTTATCTGAGTCCACACTGCCATGTAATCCAGTTCAGTCTGGATTTTATACAGCTGTGTCTTACGAATCTCTCAATTTGTTTGCCTTCCTATGTGATGTTCATAGATTCCTATCATTAGCTGGCAACCAAATCAGCAAAGTGGAGAACCTTCGCACTCTCCTGAAGCTGCAGTTCTTGGATCTTTCACACAACTGCATTAAAACTCTGGACATAGGTATGAGTATTCTTACTTTTCCACTGATACTCTGCCACAGAATGTTAAGAATAAAAAATAGTGGGGGCCTCACAAGACAATACCTGAGACTGCTCAGTTGAAAAAATTACCTAGCCTTCTGATAGATATTAAAGATTATACTGTATCTGCCAATTTTTAATCCAAGCGCTTTGACTAACAGAAACAGCAACAAAATCCCTTATGAAACCCTACACCAGGAATGCTGTAACCAGGATTATAATGAATTCTTTTTATTTGCTCTACTCAGCTGAATACTCATTCCCTTTCTGCACGAAACTGGTCCCAATTCTCCAGGAAATTTTGTACAGTTCTACCACTGGCTTCTAATGTTTTTTTTTTCCAGACCTTGCTCATATATTTTTAAAATGCAAATTTAAATCCCCCCAAAAAAAGAAACTAGAAACTAGGTTTTTTTCAGAATTCATATCAAATATTTCTTTCTGAACTTCTGTGGCACAATAGTGGTACCATTGATTATATCAGACATAAGAGATTTATTAGTCCCCCAAATATTTTGGATTAAATTTCCCACAGACTCATAACATTGACTGCTGAGTTGGAACCGAAGTTTGAAATACTAGTAGGATGAAAAGCCCCATCTTCCTGGATTAAAAACAGCTCTATATGAAGACCTTGCCTGCCTATCATAGGTGTGAATCTGAGCACTCTGGATGCAAAAATTTTGAATAACCACTGACTTTGTCTTTGAAAGCAGGAGAGACAGGATGATGTGACTTACAGGATACAACTCTACAGGTTCCAGTTAGTATCCAGTTCTAGCATTACATTATAACATAAGGAAATATCATATATTATGCAGAACAAAGTCATATCTTGGATTAATATAGCTGCAGGGAGTGTGGTTGATAGATTCTGGGAGTTACAGTCCTTTAATATGAAATGTAATGTTTTAAAATATCGAATACATATTAATAATAATATTTATTTATTTGATCAGTCATATGACCATTTCAAAATAGAACACGAGTAAAAAACAAGGCAACAAGGTGAAGACAGCAGCCGACCTTCTATTTATAGTTAGAATCTTATTTTCCTGGTTCTTCTTTCAGGAAATCTGCTCTTTTCTTAATAGCTTTCAGAATAAAAAGGCTTACTCTGATTATGCTGGATCTTTCCTGCCCTTGCAAGAGGGATGTCAGAATATCATTTCTGTTGGGGGACCTGCAGTTGGATAATATTGGATGTAAATATCTGTCTTGCAGTTCAGTATATGCTGGACAGTCAATTAAGAAATGTTCAATGTCTTCCACTGTTTGTTCGTTTTAATTTTAACTTAATTTTTAATTTTAATATTTTGGAATTGTATGTATTTTAAGACATTGAATAATTGCTTCTGTTGTAAGCCGTCTTGAGTCCCCATCGTAGTCGAAAAAGGCGGGGTATAAATAGGGTAAATCAATAAAAATAAATAGTCCATAAATATTTTTTTTCCTGAGATATGCTATGTTTACTTTTAGTGTACCTGTGTTTTTGCATTCAACAAAAACTTTAAGTTAAACATCCCATCTCTTATAAATAAGATCTACTTATTTATAAGAGATGGGATGTTTAATCATGTTATCTAGTATAACTCCACTGCTATCATGTTGTCTAGTTTAGCTCCACTCTGTTTTAGTAAGTTCTATAGTTTTATGCCTTGTGTGTCAAAATTGTCTTTTTGTCTCAGAAGCCGAGTTTTAATAATTCTACTTTTACATCACTTAAATTATAGTGACCTATCTTTATTTCCATCTTCATAACTTCCCTGACTCTTTTATCTTGCATTCTGTGTAGATGAGCTGCCCCAGAGCCTTGTGGTCCTTGATCTGACAGGAAATAAATGCACAAATCAAAATGGCTACAGGTAAACATAGTGTTCCCTACACATGTGTGTACATGGACATATGCATGCATGCATCCAGTTGTCTTGTCTGATCACAACAGTTCCTTTGTCCACCTATTCATCCCCATACCCTAGAAAAGTCAATTTTGTATTACAACTCCCAGAATCCCTCAGTCAGTGCTCACTGGGGGATTCTGGGAGTTGCAGCATCCTACAATGGGTTCTGAGACCTGCCTGTTGTTGTCAGGTTGGGTAGCACAAAGAAATGGAAGATATGACAGTGTCAAACAACTGAGCTTAATGAAGGGTTTTCTGAATCAACAGAGTATTGAAAAAGGAAGCACAACTTTCCAGAGCAGACAATTTTCTAAAAATTAAGACCTTGCATCTGCCCCTCAGAGTTTTTGCTCTTCCTTTTGCCCTGTGCTTGATCACCAAACAATTGGCCACTCCCGGAGGAGGCTCACAGCTTCTCCAGAAACTGCCAATTCCTTATTAGAACTACCTTGTGCTTTAGAAATGGGCCACTTTGTTTGATCCCACTCTGACCACTCATGCATTCTTGCCATTCCAAGGGAACGTGTGTTGGCAGCCCTGCCCCTTCTGAAAGAATTGGATACCAAGAGCACCCCCAGTCAGAATACTCCTGTTCAAAGCAAGGAAGAAGACAGTTCAGAAGACAGTGACTATGAGGATTGGCCTGAGCTCTCTCGTCCTTTGAGTGCAGAAAAAGGTACCCTAGCTGCAAGCCCAGATTTGAATGTGAAAAAAATGAGAAATCAAGGACCATCAGATTCTGTTATCAGGATGTTAGAGTCAGTTTTACATGCCTAAAATCATGGACTAATTTAAGTGTAGGGAAAATGTACCAGAAGCCTAGTACGTCCTCCAAATATTGCCTTTTTTAGTTCCATTTTTAAGACCAAGATACTTCACTGCTCCTCAAAGTAGTCCCTGTCCCACTGGATGCCAGTCACTGATAACTTTCAAAGGGAAAAAAGACGTAGTTGTAGCCAGTGGGCACAAATATTGTGCCAGTCCCTGGCATGTTCAGAAACTATAATTGCCAGTTCTCTACATCAGATAACCTGAGAAGCACTGTGTAATTCAGAATGTTCCTCCACACATTTTGCCATCACTTATGCCAAAAATGGTCCAGGTAGGCCAAAGAGATGGGAACCCCTTTTTTTCAAAGTGACCCCCCTCCACTATGTGGGATTAAGTGGGCCTGTGAGTCCTCCAATACTCCAGATATATCTTAAATTTTCCATTTTTGGACTACACAGACCCAGGTTCATATTTCTACTGAGTCATGAAGTTTCCTGAGTGCTTTGAGATGGTGTTCTTAGCTTTGTGTTCTTATGAGGGTAAAATGGGAGGGGGAATCTATACATACTGCCTCAAGCTCATTAGAGAAGATAGAATACTATGCACATTGAAGAAACTGACTTTCATTTGAGTCAACAGAGTAACATTTCCAGTGTTACGTGATTCAAGTCACAATCTCAGATGTATAGCGTTTCAACAGGAATATAAAAAATAGAGTTTGGAACACTGGTTCTTTCGAGCTCTGGAAGAACCTACAGTAGCTGTCAGGGTGACTGAGAGATTCTGAGTGGTCATGCAGAAAAGTAACTCCCCGAGTTCCAGGGAGAATTTTGTATACATATATTAACATTTTTCTGCTGAACTCTTACGTTCACCATGAGGAGCCAGTATCTTCTGGACATAGTTTGGCCAGGATTGTGTATGCTGTTTCCATTAAATCAAATTATTTCACCAATGACTGTTGGCAAGGGATGATGAGAGTTACAATCCAAGATAATTAGAACCTCACAATCTCCACCTCTGGAATGGGCACCTCTGCTCTTGTCTAAGAGTCATAAGCACCGAAATATGTCAACTGTATATTTTTATTGTTGTCTTCTTTGGACAGACTTCTTTGTTGACCTCCATGAGGAGTTCACCAGTCGCTCAGCCCGGAGAAGAGAGGAGGCAGTGAGGGAGCATGAGGCCCACCTGGAAGAACTGAAGCAGCAGCAGAAGTTGAGAGAGTTGATCTTTGACACAAGCCAAGATAATCCCAATGCACTGAGCAGTCCCAAACCGAGACTACCAATCCAAACTGAGCACCATACAGCTTCAAGCCCACGCTTAAAAACAGAAAATGCATCGTTTTCTACCAGTGCTCCAAAAGAGAAGATTGAGAGCAAAAACCAAACTCAGCCAAAAAACCTTAAAGGAGAGGTGATAAGTTCAGCTAAAACTGCAAGCAAAAGATAGGGAAAAAAGCATTTTTTAAAAAAAGATAATGCTTTTCAAACAAACTTTTTATTCTGTCACCTTCAAAGAAATAGTATACATTAAAGACAGACTAGTTACTATCTGTTTTTTTCCAAAGCACACAAGGAAACAAGGAGGAGGGGGAGGGGGGGTAAATACAAAGAAACTGTTAGATAACAGAAGGCATAGTCAGAAGCAACAACAACAAAAAAAAAACCCCAACAAAACCAGCCTCTGCTGAAACTTGGAAGCAGCACTTCAAAGTAAAGGGTAAGGGTTGTGAACTCCAGTGCAGATTTCCTCAACCCACTGAGTTTTGCTTCTTTCAAGTAAAATGTAGAGCGGCTCCTTGTTTCTGTTGAAATGCTGCATTGCTAATACTAGCATGAAAACTGGCTAAAGTTAACAGCTGCTTCACAAGGGACCCAGGAAATGTTCTGTGACAAGTACAAAGACACAAAGGAGTCCTTTATTCATAAGACTTCATTGGGAAGTATCACAGTTATGTAAGTATGAAACTGGTATCTTTCATATACCCTTAGAAGGAGATGGCTCTGGAGAAGGGGAGCACAAGGGTGAAAGAAAATAAAAGAGGGGGAAATGTATATGTCTATATAATTGTAAATCCTTTAATAAAAATAAATAAAAGAAGAAGAAGATCATGCCAAGTGTAGTCTTTGAAATTTAATAAATCTTATGAGTTGCCAGCTATAGGTTGAATTCCAAGTCGATTCAAGGAGGTTTTCAGATTCTGAATACCAACACTTGGAAGGCTTGGGAAGGAAACATATATGCCTCTGATTCAAAGACAGTTCTGCTCTAATCATCTCAGCAGCAAAGAGAAGGAGAGGAGCTTGAAATACAGGATCATAGTGATAGGACTAGACAGCAGCAAGGGAGTCTTCTGAAGTTCTCAGAGCTAGAACAGATCAATAAAAAGACACTCTTCACAAGCATTCTTCTGCACCTGATATTATACCTTTAATCTTGCTGGATGGAATATAGGCTGAATTCTAATATTTGGATTTTTTTTCAGGCAAAAGTTCACATTTGAATTATAGGCACAGGATTTGGTTATTGTTTTAGAAAATGCAAGCTTCTCCTAGATTTATTATGCACTTTGGGGACCCCGTTAAAATGTTCTAAATTGAAGTCACATAAACATGAATGTTTCATGAATTTCCATTAAAAAAAGTACAATGAATCAACTTCTTTATATTTGGCCATTGAGCCTTGTCTAGAAGGCAGTCAAAATCTGTGGAGCAGCCATTTATACACCCAACACACGTGCAGTGAGGAAAACAGTGGTCCTTCATATCCACTGGGGTTTGATATCTACTAAAACACCAGAACTATATCAATAGTAAAAAAATTCCATATGCTGAACATAGGCTAAAACTCCAGCATTTTAGTCTTTCAGACAGCACAGTATCCTCAGGCTTCTGACACATGAAATTTTCAGTAGCACAGGATGAAACCTAAACCTACCTGCCGTTATCCATCACTTATATAATTTGAGTTCTGTTTCCACAGAGTTAAGAAAGAGGTCAGCCAGCTCCTGGGGTTTCAGAGTCAGGGAACCAGCCAACAAGTTTTTCATTCTCTCCAGAATTTGCTGCTGAAATTTCTTCATAGCTTCCTGGATTTTTCGGCTTTCATGCTGCGGTCAAAAAGGAAAGAGAGAGGACAAAGGACAGCATGCTGTATAAAGTCTAGAACATTATTGCTTTATATCCTATTTTCAACACTGACTACAGTTCTGCTATTGAATCAGTGGGACTGATATATGTATTGACTCACCATTCAACAATTGATTACATGGGTTTATTTATTTATTTGCCCTATTTATACCCTGCCTTTCTCAATCCCAAAGGGGACTCAAGGCAGCTTTACATATAGGCAACTATTCAATGTTTTAAAACAACAAACAATTTAAAAAAATTTAAATGAAAAAAAATAATTAATGCATATTGAAACATTTAAAAACATTACATTCAATATTAAAACCACGTCATCCATAATCATAATCCGGGGCCACTCCAATAGTCATTGCACATATTCCATATCTATTATTGCACTACAATTATTCCCTGAAGGCTTGATCCCAGAGCCTTCTGAAGGCTTTCCTTCGGAGAGAAGGGGCTGATCTAATGTCACTGGGGAGGGAGTTCCACAACTGAGGGGCCACCACAGGGAAGACCCTGTCTCTTGTCCCCACCAACAGTGTCTGTGAAGGAGGTGGGACCAAGAGCAAGGCCTCTCCAAATGATCTTAGCCTCTGAGATGGTTCGTAGGGGGAGATACGTTCGGACAGGTAAGTTGGGCCAGAACTGTTTAGGGCTTTATAGGCTAAAGCCAGCATTTTGAATTGTGCTTGGTAGCAGACTGGCAGCCAGTGGAGTTGGCGTAACAGTGGGGTTGTATGCTCCCTGGATGCCACCCCAATGTATAGAGAAACTACTCTATAGCCACAAAAAATAACACATCCACCCTCCAAACTTGTTTTCACCAGGGGTGGGGGGAGAATGTCCAAGAATTAACCAAAAAGGCTCAGACAAGTGCAATGGGCTAGAGGAGATGGTTATTTAAATCAGAACTTAAATATTTCTGGGATCACAGCTCCCAAATTCCCCCATCCAACATGGACTGAGGATTTGGGAGGGCAATTCTGACCTCCAGGTATTGTTCACACCGATTTTGTACACAAAGTACCTACGCTAGAATAATATTTCCTTTCCCACTATCAAATAGTTGTTCGTGTTTATC